AGAAACACCCACCTTGTACTTCAACTTACTGGCCACTTTATTAGAAACACCTAGCTTGTGCTTCCACTCACTGTCCACTTTATTAGAAACACCTACCTTGTGCTTCCACTCACTGGCCACTTTATTAGAAACACCCACCTTGTGCTTCCACTCATTGGCCACTTTATTAGAAACACCCACCTTGTACTTCAACTTACTGGCCACTTTATTAGAAACACCTAGCTTGTGCTTCCACTCACTGGCCACTTTATTAGAAACACCCACCTTGTGCTTCCACTCATTGGCCACTTTATTAGAAACACCCACCTTGTACTTCAACTTACTGGCCACTTTATTAGAAACACCTAGCTTGTGCTTCCACTCACTGGCCACTTTATTAGAAACACCTACCTTGTGCTTCCACTCACTGGCCACTTTATTAGAAACACCTACCTTGTGCTTCCACTCATTGGCCACTTCATTAGAAACACCTACATCGTGCTTCCACTAACCGGCCACTTTATTAGAAACACCTACCTTGTACTTCCTCTAACTGGCCACTTTATTAGAAACACCTTCCTTGCACTTTCTCTAACTGGCCACTTTATTAGAAACACTTTATTCTTTTACCAACTGGCCACTTTATTAGAAACACCTACTTTGTGCTTGCACTCACTGGCCACTATATTAGAAACACCTGTCTTATAGCTCCCTGTGTAGGCGTACAGTTACAGAATATTTGTTGCTGCACAATTTATGGCCGTGTCTGAACCTGAAGGCACCTGTCTTGATGTCTTGCTGCCTGTACTGTCTCATAAGTCAGTGCCTTAGAAGGCAATGTTGTCCACAGTGTCTGGAGTTTTCTGCTATTTTTCCTAACTGAATTTGCACAGACACAAAGGATTATGGGACATTTAAGGATGAAGGATCTATGCTGCCTTCAAAGAAATGGACGAACAAACATTAGATCCAGACGTGACTGGGTGCCTTGCTGCCTCAGAATACTGTCTGAGTAAGCAGCGTTTATTATGTTTCAGACGCAGCCTATCAGCCCCTCTACCCCGTTCATCATTGGTCAGTTTCTGACCACATCACTGCCATTGTCAATAATATCTGTCTGCAGAGTCGCAGTTTCACGCCAGCAGTTTCAGTCCAGCAGGTTCAGGCCAGTGGCATTCAAAGCATGCACCGACACTTGCTTTGGCTTTTCTTAGTGAGTTTTGGACTAATCAACATTTCAGTAACTTTATGTGGGTTTACAATAAATTTGTGATAAATTTGCATTTGGCTAATGTCATATTGTAAGCTTTAGGCTAAAACAAACTTTGGTTTGAACACATATAGAGATTCACAGGGTAAATATTACACAAACTGCAGCTGATGTGGTCTGGGTAAGCTAATGGGTTATGTAGACCTATAGCTAAAGAATTCTCCACTTAATACAGGGGCTTTATGTTTACACTTAACTTACATTGCATGTGCATGAATAAAACTTAATATAGCATAATATTAAGCTTTAGGCAAAAACTTTTTGAATGTGTCACTGCTGGAAAAACCACAGAAACCAAGTGTTTCTTTGGTTTCTGATGGTTTTGTAATGTGTTTTGTCTTATGGTTTAAATGGGTTACCAGTGGTTGATTTGTATATTACATCAGAGACATTGTAAATGAGGAGACCGGCCTTAGGTGTTTCTAATAAAGTGGCCAGTTAAAGGAAGCACAAGTAGGTGTTTCTAATAAAGTGTTCAGTTGGTGGAAGTAAAGGTAAGTGTTTCTAAAAAAGTGGCCAGTTGGTGGAAGTACAAGGTAGGTGTTTCTAATAAAGCGGCCAATCAGCAGAAGTACAAGGTAGGTGTTTCTAATAAAGTGGCCAGTTAGTAGAAGTACAAGGTAGGTGTTTCTAATAAAGCGGCCAGTTGGTGGAACCACAGGGTAGGTGTTTCTGATAAAGTGGCCAGTATGAATATGAATAGGACACTCGTTATGCTCAGCTTTCCTATAAGGACACTGTTTACATGGTAGAATCGTGCTGTCCTACTGCGCATGTGTTCCACTGGCCTGAAACCGCTGGACTGAAGCTGCTGGTGTAAATCTGTGGCTCTGCGCCTCTGCAGTCAGACCCTCCCGGCCATTGTCCAGATAGATGCGGCCAGTGGTCCATTCTCAGTCAGATTATAAGCAGTGGGAGCTCCTGATTTAATTCAGAATCAGAATTAAATTCATTGGCCAAGTATGTTGTCAGACACAAGGACGTTGGTTCCAGCTGTTTATGTTTCTCTAGTATTATATGCAATATAGAAACAATGTACATATAATTTACTGACAATATACAATATATACGTAGTACAAGCAATAAGCTGACAATATTATTAAAGACAAAAATAGGGGAGGGTGGTGCACAACCTAACACATTTAGGTTTTTGTGAAATAATAAAAAAAATGTAATCTGGAATAATCATATATTTATACAAGCAACATAAACATCTCTGCTACAAACGAGCACTTGAACTTTATTTCTAGCTCCTACCATTCAGTACAATTCCACCCAAAATGAGGAAGGTGCTGTGTTTCAGTTTAGCCCATGGGTGGGTTCAGTGTAACAGACAGAGGGTCAGTTTAACACCTGCTAGAAAAGTCTGATCAATCAGTGCAAACAGAGTTAATCCAATATAATTATTTGTTGTAAGAATATATTTTTATATTTGCAACCATTGCAATCCAGCCGTACTGCATTACATATTATCTATATGAGCACCGACAGAGTCTGTGTGTCAAACAATGACAGATTTATTGTTTGTCCAGTGAAGAACAGCAAATGAAAACATCACACATCAGTAAAATATAAACAAGACTAAGTTTACTTTATTAGTCTTTGTGTACTGAAGGTATTTGAGCTGTGTAAGAACTAACCCTGCAGTGCAGAGGCTGAACTTGAGCCCAGCTGCACTTGCTGTGAGTTTGTCAGCTGCTACTAAACTGTGCTGCATTGTAGGAAAAAAGGTGGTGATTAAAGTAATATAAGGTTGGATTTTATGATTCACACAAACAGCTCAGTAACCGAAAAAACTTGTGCTGAAAAAAATTACTTGCATGACCTGAAAACACTCTTTGGCTCAGATCTCTTTAAAACGCCGATCAATCGCTCTGAATTTTGGTGGGAAACTGCGGCTTGGAAATGTGGTCATGTGGCCAGAAGATCAGGTTGCTTGACCTTAAAATAAATATATTAAAGTGTGTTGTAGTGCAAACAACAGTAATGTGTATTAGTAGCGTGGATGGTGTGGATAGTGTGGATGGTGTGGATGGTGTGGGTGTAGTAACTATCTGGGGAACACAGGAGCAGCTCTGGCCCAGCAGATGATATGACTGGTCAGCTGTTTCTGAGGGTGAGGGTCTGAGGAATGAAGCCGCTCCTGTGTCGGGCAGTCTTAGTGTTCAGTGTTCTGTAGCGCCTGCCGGAGGGGAGGAGCTGTAAAAGGTTGTGTCCAGGGTGTGAGGAATCTGTAGTGATCTTCACTGCCTGTTTCTTGGTTCTGGAGCAGTACAAGTCCTGGACGGTGGGCAGGTGAGCACCAATGATTTTTCAGCTGACGTTACTGTCTGTTGCAGTAGATTGATTCACAAAACTGTTCAGCTCAGAGTGGCTCTAAGATCCGGCACAGACAGTGAGCTCAGGGGGCGCTGAGGGTTTATATTACCTGCAAATAACGACAGTAAATTATAAATAAATAAGCAAGCAATTCATTATAACTATCATAATAGTATTTTGCTGACACACATCACAAATATATTTACTTATTCATTATTATAATTAGATATTAGAGACAATACACATTAATTAACTAACTCTTAATTAACCTTAATTACCTCTAAACTAAATGTGGCGAGCAGTCTTATTAAAAAATTCTATCTATCTAACTATCTATCTATCTATCTATCTATCTATCTATCTATCTATCTATCTATCTATCTACTCTGGTTAATGGCCAATGCACTACAGTCACAATCACAATGTGAAGAGGCAGAGAATGAGTGAAAAACAGAGCGAGAGAGAGAGAGAGAGAGAGAGAGAGAGAGAGAGAGAGAGAGAGAGAGAGGTGTTGTGTGTGAGAGAGGGGGGCATGTAAGAGAAAGAGAAAAGGAATGAAGAAAAGAGAGACTGAGAGAGAGACAGGAGAAAGAGAAAGGGAGGAGAGAGAGTAAGAGAGGAGAGAGAAACAGAGAGAGAGAGAGAGAGAGAGGAGAGAGAGGAGAGAAGAGAGTGAAATAGAGAAAGAGGAGTGAGAGAGAGACATGGATGTAAGAGAAAGAGAAAAGGAATAAAGAAAGGAGAGAAAGTGAGAGAGAGAGGAGAGAAAAGAGTGAAATAGAGAAAGGGGAGTGAAAGAGTGAGTGAGAGAGAGAGAGAGAGAGAGAGGAGGGGGTGAGAAAGAAGGGTAATAGAAAGAAAAGAAAGAGAGAGTGAGAGAGAGAGAGAGAGAGAGAGAGAGAGAGAGAGTAAGAAAGAGTAAGAAAACGAGAAGTGAAAGAGATTCAGGTGAGAAAGCTGAATATCGTGATACATGTCTCACATCTGACGTATCGAGCCAGGTGACAGGTGAGAAATAAAGGGAAAGACGAAAAGAAGGAAGAAAGAAAGAACGGCGAGAGAAAGAAAAGAAAACAGCCTCTTGTTTCTAAACGAGTCCGCACATCCTGACATTGTCTCTCCGTTCACTTTCAACTGCCTTCAGTTTGTTGTTGTTGTTGTTGTTGCTGTTGTTGCTGTGTTTCCATCTCACGTGCCACGTCGTGTCATTATGCGCCAAGCTCCAGACAGCACCAATCTGCCACAGATAAAGATGGAGCGCGCGCGCTTTGTGTGTCGCGTGTTTTCCCCTTTAAAATGCCATCTGGGTTCCCTAATGCGTAAATGAGTCCAAAAAAACCCTCACGCACGCACGCGCACGCGCGCAAGCACGCACACACAAGCTCGCTCGCGCGCGCGCGCACACACGCACACACACACACACACACACACACACGCTCGGCAGCTCGCGGAGGAGCCTCTTTCGCTCGAGCCTTTGCAGCGCAGGAGGAGGAGGAGGAGGAGAAGAGGGCGCGTGATATTTCATCTCAGGACGAATATTTGTTTTTTTGGGAGGTCCGTCTTTTTGATTTTGTTCTGCTTTTCGGAGGAAAAAAAATCAGTGAGGAAAAATCTTCTGTATCTGTAAAAGACGGTGAGTTTGCGCGCGAGCACGTCGCGCCGCTATGATGATGGAGAGATGGAGAGAGAGAGATAGAGACAGAGATAGAGAGAGATAGATGCAGTGCAGTTAGGTAGCCATATGCATCAAGTGACGGATGCCGTATCTTTTTTGGGGGGGACGCTGCTGCATTAGTGTGTGTGTGTGTATATGTGTGTGTACATGCATGTAGGCGCGAGCGCGCTGTTTTGACGGCCGGTGCATGAAAAATTGCGATGGATAGAGGGAGAGATAGAGAGAGGGATGGGGGAGAGAAAGAGAGATAGAGAGAGAGAGAGGCAGCGAGGGAAAATGTAAGAGGATTTGATTTCTCTCTCTCTCCTCCAGCCACTGCAAAGAGATTAAGTCGACAGCAGTGCGAGCGAAATTGTGCAGCATGTTAAAAAAAAAAAAGGACAGGAAATGAACTGGGTGGGTTTTGGGGGGTTTTTGGGGGCTCTGGGGGGCTTTAGAGAGGGCGATCTTGGGGACCACCTTCCATTCTGATATAAAAATCGAGCTCTAGCCCCAGTTTCAGCGCCGCTGAGATTTTGGGGCTGGGCGATAGGACGGTATGCTGTCATCATCGCGATTGAAACGTCACGATACGCTTTGCTGAGCACGTTGCGGTTATCGTCAGCTCTGAAGCAGCACCCGCGCGCATTGCTGGTTTGGATGAGCGTAGCGCGAATTTGGTGTCTGTTTAAACTTACCGAAACTAAATATCGCGATACATGTCATATATTTGAAGTATCGAGCCAGGCATCATTTATAGTGGAGATTTTTTTTTTTTTAAGTAAGGCTGCGCACGCTCAGCGTCGTCAGCATCCTCTGCTGGAGCCTCGAGCTACTAGTGGCCGCACAGATCAGCTCGTGCACCGGGAAGAGAGGGGTGCTTTGGTGCTTTGCTTTTCTTCTGTGGTTCATTTGTGTCCGGCAAGTTTACATCGCGTGCGAGTGCGAGTGCACGATCAGGTGCGTTTGCATGCGCGTGCGTTGGGGAGTGAATGATGCAGTGGGGGGGTGGGGGGGTGCACTTTCGGACCGCATCTCCTCCATCCATTCCATAGGCTGCGCGTGCGTGCCTGCATGCATGGGCTGAAATATAAAGTGGACGCGCGTGTTTGTTGTTTGTTTGTTTGTTTGTTCGTCACCCTTTTCGGCTTTGGTCTTCATCGCGACCGAGTGCAACTTCCTGAAGGTGCGCGAGCTGCAAACCCGCGAGGCTAACAGGGGGTTGGGAAATCGCTCGTGCATTGCGAAAAAACGCACAGTTTTTTGGTGAACGCTGGGCCGCTACGTCACTCAAGCGTTTTGGTGCGTGCGCCAAAATAAAAATTCTATTAAAACACATCCGGCTCGCGAGCAAAGCCAGCTTCGCTCCGCGCGCACTTGAGAGGCGAACGGGGGTGCATTTACTTTTTCACACCGACCTCCACAGCAACGGGTGAGGGTTTTTTTTTTCCTGCCTTGTCTCGTGCAAGATTTAAGAGGTCCTCGTGCCTATGCGTAAAAAAAGGCTCAGAGGAGCGCGCGAGTGCATGCATAGATATTATATTTTTAAATAAAGGCTTTGGAAGATCCGGATGCGGATCGCGTGCCGAAATGCGTCTCGGCACGTGCGCGAGCGCGCGAGGCGCCGCGTTTGCTGGGCTAATTGTGATATTTGCAGCCTCTGTTTACAGTATATATGCATATATATGTGTATATAGGTTTCTCGCCGTCCATTTAAAAACAGAGCGCGTGCAGTTCGGCTCCCCGAACGCGGCTGGCTCGCGGAGAAGGCGTGCTTGCCTTCAGATGTTTGAGCAGTAAAGGTTATTTACTGGAGCAACGCCGGCTTTAACACTCGGCTGCTCACGTTGGAATACATAATGCACTTTCTGCTGCCTTTCCTGTGGGTGCGATTGCACGCAGGGCTGCACGAGCCACGCTTCGCGGAATAGATTGGGTCAGAAACGCACGTGCGTGTGCTAAATCTGGAGGAGTTTCAGTGCAGATGCTTTTGCAGCATGGCTTGCTTCTAATGACCTGCACTTTTGGTCTGCAGCGGCTCGAAATGCGCCCTAAAATGTGGTTGCATTGCAAGAAACCCAGCTCAGAGGTTTCAGAGCAACACCTCAATGCTTTCCTCTAACCTCCTCTCATTTTCTCCTCTTTTCCAGTGAGGAATCGCTCTTCTGGAAGGATGTGGGGTCGGCTGGGAGCCGCCTGGATTTGGGCCTCTCTGCTGGTGGCCAACGTTTTGAGCAGTAGCAAAAGGTACGTGTTTTTTTTTTACTTGGGATTGTAATGAGGATTCTGTGGCTTTAGGCAGTTCAAACCGAAGTCAGTTGCTTCCACGGTCTCAAAAAAAATAATCTGCGGCTGGTAATCCCCTTCAGACCGGGACGGGAAGCCACCAGTGCGGAATTAAAGACAGCATGCCGGTGACTGTCCCCGCAAAAAACAAGGAGTAGTGGTGTTTCTGAATGGTGGAGGATTTGATCGATTTTAACGTGTCCGTAGGAAATGAGACGCATGCAAAGACAAAGACAATAAAGATAAACAACCCACTGAAAAGTGCCACTCGTTAATGCTTAATTGGCTCAAATGGAGGTAAGAATCCTCAGTCATCACACTGTATCACTGCTAGGAAGTTCAAACAAGGTCAAAGAGGAAGGAGCGAAGGAGGATGGAGGAGTTGGAAGACCCGCTTTCACATCTGTGTTTTGGGTGCGATGTGTAAAGAGAGACTGAATGAAGACACTGAGGAGTCATTTGTTACAATAATGATGCATTTATTCAAATTAATAAGAGAATGCATGTGATTTGGATGTGTATTGGATTTGCATATAACGTGAGAAACTAAAGGCAGCACTGGTCATGCATTAAACCAGTTTGTGGCATCAGATCTCCTAATCAAATGTGCTCATAATTTCATTTTTTTCTGCTAAGATCACTGCAGCTAAACCAGATCTGTTTTATAATCTGTTGTTAGAACAGCCTAAAGCATCGGTCGTGGTGGGCAGAGGGTCAAAAAACAAACAGTAAGCAAACAAAGAAGGTAGGCAGAGCTCAAATCAGGTTTTTATCACGTTTTTAAAATGCATTTTGTAATGTGACACTGTGTTTTGTTACTAAAACCTTTTAAAAATCAGAATTTTCAAATGAAACAAGAATTATTAGATGTAATTAAGCTTGATATAGAATAATACTATGCTGGAGTAACTTTCTGTTGCGTCTCACGGGCCAGTTTTGGTGCATGGGGTACAATTTGGGCAGCTGTGTTGTAGTAATTTACCCAGTTTGTATGTAAACTGTCTTATTTTGTTTATTTGAAAAATTAGATGCTGACAAATGGCTGAAAATAAGCCAAGAACATACATACGGGACATATACGCATTTACCTTTGAGGTCATTAAGGTGTGTTCCTGATGGATGGATGGATGGATGGATAGATAGATAGATAAAATAGATAGATAAAATGTGATTAATGTGCATTCCTAAAGGATGGATAGATAGATAAAAAGAATAAAAACTGACATTTAGTTAAAAATAAGACCAGAATAAAACAGACATTCCTGATAGATAGATAGATAGATAGATAGATTGGCCAACACTGGCGCATTTAATTAAGAGTTAATTAAGATTAATTAAGAGTTAATTAATTGATGTGCATCATCTCTCATATATACATAACATTAAATAAATAAATAAACAGCTTGTCGGATCACATTATAGAAAGATATGTTTATTTGCGATATTAACGTTCCGCTGTAGTGTAATAAGCAGGTTATTAACAGTGTTATAAGCGCTGTTATGAAAGAAGAACAGTGGATAGAGCTGAACTCTGCAGAAACAGTGCAGAACTCTCTGAGGGGTCTGTGTTTTTTCCTCTGAGCTGCACACTGTTGCTGTGCGGCTGACCTGTAGATGGGGTTGCTGCACAATCTTTTATTGGGGGAAGTGTCCGCAGCTCAGAAACACGTGCGCTGCATGGCTTTCTGCTTTATTCATCCCTCCATCCCTCGCTCATCCACCCCCCTCCGCACCCCCCCAGCCATTCCCTCTATCCAAAATGTACTCTGTGCCTGCTGCGGCGTTTAACCCCTGCCAGGCCAGAGCTGTCAGTCTGATACACATCACATTTTCATCAGTATTTCTGCGTAATGGCATTTATGTGATTGAATACATAGTTAGTAACATAGAATTATGTTTACATGCGATGGGTTTGATTCGGGACTTGTTTTCAACTGGAAATGACAAAAACGGCAATAAATATGAAGCGTTTATTTTCTTTCTGTGACACAGGACTGAACACACAACAGTAACTTCTCATCAAATTCAACTCATAATAAAATCTGTTCTCTTCTGCTCACAGACGCTGATGTGGTCTGGATTGAAAGTGTATAATCTGTACTTTCCACACAGTTTCTCCTCTTGTTTCAGTGAACTCCAGGTCAGAAATAGTTCCACAGAGAGTAAGAAGAGTTGAGTCAATCAGGGTTTATTTATGTAGCGCTTTTTACAGCAGGTGTTGTCACAAAGCGGCTTTATAGAGAAAACGGGTCTGAGCGGCCATGAGTGGCGCCGATGCCGACAGTAGCAGGAAAACCCCCTAAAAGCAAGTGGAAGAAACTTTGAGAGGAACCAAGACTCAAAAGGGAAACCCATCCTCCTCTGGTTGTGGTTTTGGAGGGTTTATTTGGTATATCTCTGTTTTAAAGTCACCTTTGATGCGCAAGGATTTTATTGTTTCATTGTGACATATGGATATACTTAACTGCATATATATCGCTATTGTTGAAGAAAACCTTGTATCTCCATTTTTGTCATTTTTCAGTTTTTGACATAATTTGAAAATGCCTATTGCTCTTTACATTGTGTGTAAATATCATGATGAATGGACCAAAAGAAACGGCCCAAAATGACATGGAAAAAAGTCTGGTTCCATTGACTTACATTAAAAGTGAAGTAAGTTTTTCCTTCTCCTGTAAAGTTACCATTTTGGAGATACAGGGTTTTCTTCCGACAACAGCCATATATATATATATACATACATACTCCTGGGCCAAAAAAGGGTTCTGTGATGGACAATGTGTTGTATATAGTGATCATACAGATACGGCAAAGATGAAAATGATGAATAATGGTCAAATTTGCATACACGATCCTATTTAACCATACGCAACTTTGACAAATAAGGATCAATCAATTAAACACAGGCTGTTTAGGGCTGGAAAACTAGTGATACCTTCTATATCATCAAAAACTATACAAACTTTGTAAAATTCATTTTTCCATGATATGAGACCTTTAGAGTATAATCTAATGTCCAATACACACCTGAGAAAAGAAAATGCGCCGAGCCCAAAATGGCAAAACATTGTTGTTAATGGTGTGAACAACAAATCATGAAACAAACAGATAAAATAACTTAATATGGGGGAGATTTTCACTTTGATTTCTTTAAATGTTGAAGTTTTGAGTGTAAATCTGCAGACAGTGACCCACTTTTATCGTCTTAGAGTAAAAATACTGATCTAGGATCAGCTTATGCTTTTTATCTCGCTGAATAAAACTCCATGACCTGATCTTTGATCAGTGCTCTTACTCTGAGGCGCTTGATAAATGTGCAGGCAGTCTTTTACAGAAAGAAGAGTCAGTATTGATCCTCTCAGCATTGGCGGCTTCAAACAGCTGAAAACACTGCTGAGCTGGTTTGTGTTTAAATTAGACCAAATATTCTCTATAGGGTTTAAATCTGGACTCTGACCAGCCAGAACCATCGGAAAATACATATATGTAAACTAAATATATATATATATATATATATATATATATATATGTATGTATATCTCACTGTTGTCATAATTTCACATTGACATAATTTCGAAATGCCTGTTGCCCTTTACATTGTGTGTAAATTTCATGGTGAGTGGGCCAAAAGAAACGGCCCAAAATGCCTTGGAAAAAATTCTGGTTCCATTGTCTTACATTAAAAGTAAAGTATGTTTTTTCCTTCTCCTGCAAAGTTACCATTTTGGGGATACAAGGTTTTACATATTGATAATATACATGTAACACAATTGTTACTACATATACTTAAGATAGTTGCTTTCTAAAGAAAAACATGCCTCCCCAAAACACCAAAATAGTAATTTTACAGCAGAGGTCAAAAACATTGTTTACTTTTAATATAAGTTAATGTAAAGAGGTTTTATTCCAAGCAAATGTGAAGCGTTCATCATGAAATGTTCATTCTCAATGCTCAAATGGTGTAGAAAAAAAAAAATACACAAAAAAGGGAAAAATGTTTTTTGGACAGTGATGATATATATTTTACATATGGAACATTATTTGTACTACATATAAATATTTATATATTATACATTATTACTGTGGAGAGGTGCTTACATATATACATATTGGATGTCTTACTAGTATATATAATTACTATATGTAATTACCATTACGTACATACTTACATATGTACAAAATATACGGAGTATGTTATCACATATAGGTGTTTACATAGAAAATTATTTAGGACATATTATTATGACATATTTATGCTTACATATAAATAAATATAGGACATACTATTAATACACTGTTCTAAATGCTATTGTCACATGTAAGATCTTACATATATATATATATATATATATATATACATATTGGGCACAAATCTGACCCCACGTCCTGATAAGGTATAAAAACAAACAGGTGTGTGTGTGTTACTGCTGGTGTTGGTGTCAGTCTGTGAGGCTGATGTAATGAGGCTTTGCTGAGCTGTATTACGTTCTTTCTGGATAAACGAGTGTCACTCCTCCTCCTGCCACTCTGAACACATCTCTCATTCCCCAATTACAGCGCAGCATCGCTCCCTTCATCACTCTGTCCGTTCCTGATAGATAGTTTCGTGTGTTTCTCTGTGTAACGTGACGTGTGGTTGTGTATCGCAGCGTATGTGTCAGCATCCAGCGCTAACTCAGTTATTCAGCAGCTCACACTCACTGCCATGTGACTCTCTCTCTATCTCTCTCTCTCTCCTCTCTCTATTGCTCTCTCTCTCCATTTCTTCCTCTCCTCTGTCTATTTCTTTCTATTTCTCTCACTCTCTCTCCTCTCTCTGTCTCTCTCTCCCTCTCTCTCTCTCTATTTCTCTCTCTCCTCTCTCTATTTCTGTTTCTCTTTTTCCTCTCTTTACCTCTCTCTCCTCTCTCTATTTCTGTTTCTCTTTTTCCTCTCTTTACCTCTCTCTCCTATCTCTATTTCTGTTTCTCTTTTTCCTCTCTTTATCTCTCTCTCCTCTCTCTCTCTCTCTCTCTCTCTCTCTCTCTCTCTCTCTCCATTTCTTTCTGTCCTCTCTCTTTCTCTTTCACTCTTCTCTCTCTTTCCTCTCTCTATTTCTCTCTCTGCTGTCTCACTCCTCTCTCTCTTTCTCTTTCACCCTCCTCTCTCTTTTTCTCCTCTCTCCCTGTTTCTGTTTCTCTCCTATTTTTCTCTTTCTCTTTTTCTCTTCTCTTTCTCTCTCTCTTTTCTATTTCTTTCTCTCTCCTCTCTTGATTTCTCCCTGTTTCTCTTTCTCTTTCCTCTCTCTTTCTCTCTCTCCCCTCTTTCTCCTCTCTTTCTCTCTATTTATCTCTCCTCTCTCTGTCGCTCTCTTCCTCTCCCCTCTCTCTTCTCTGTCTCCCCTCTGTCTTTCCCTATCTTCCTCCTTCCTCTCTCATTTTCTCTCTCCCTCCTTCTCACTATTTCTTTCTTTCTGTTCTTTTTTTCTTTTACAGTTTCTTGTTCTTTCTGTTTTTTTAATCTCTCTCTTCCTTCTTTGTCACTCTTTTCTTTTTCTTTCTCTCTCTTTCTTTTACCCTCTCTTTATCTTCTCGTTCTCCCTCTCTGCCCTTCTCTCTCTTTATTTTCTCTCTTCTTTCTTCTCAGTCTCTTTTCTCTCCTTCTCTCCCATTCTTTCCCTTCTCTCTTCATTTTGCTTTTTCTGTCCCTTTTGGCCTCTCGCTCTTTCTTCTCTCTTTCTTTTTTTTCTCACTCCTTTTCTCATTCTCTTCCTCTCTTTCATCTCCTATATCTTCCTCCTTCTCTCTCTCTCTCTCTCTCTCTCTCTCTCTCTCTCTCTCTCTAATCTTGATGACCTCCTCGTCTCCTTGCAGTCATGTCTCTACGTTCTCCAAATGCTCTCCAGTGTTTACTCTGTCCGGTCTGGTCTGCACCAACAAATAAACAATAAACAAACAGCAAATAAACAATAACATTAGCCAGTGATTGTTTTTAGTGGAGGAGAGCTCGTCCCCCCCACTGCCCCCCCCCCACTACAACACCACCAATTTATCCAGAGCTGATTAAATCTCTCTTTAGTCCTGATCGCTCGGCTGAAATATTTATGAGCGTAGATGGTAACACGCTTCGTGCCATTAGAGACCGTTTGGGCTTTTGTTTTCCCCTCGTTTTGTTTTACGTGGCTAAAATGTGCTGCATGTGTCCAGTTGCTTCTTTCCTCGCGGTTAAAAGGCTGTATTAGCACATTAATTATGCATCGTTGCTGTGTATCCTCATGTAGATGAAAGACGATGTGATGTTCTTCGGCGCTGAATCCTGAATTCTCTTTCATCGGGAGGTTCGTCCCAAAGGGGGTCGTTGCCGTTTTCCTCTTTGCTGATTGGGTTCTTCATCTCTTTAGCGTGCTCTTCTGCTGTTTAACTCTAACTTCTTTCACTCTTTTGCCTCGTCAGCTCCAACCAGAATGGCTCGGACGAGCAGAAGGACAACACCACTGTCTTCACCAGGATCCTGGACAGTCTTCTGGACGGCTACGACAACCGTCTCAGGCCTGGACTCGGAGGTTCGTGTTGTTTAGAGCACCTTTCACAACTCTTAAAAAAAAAAGATGGTTCTTCAAGGGTTCTTTGGTAAAGACAGTGGTTATATATAGAACCATAAACCCCCAGAGAACCTTTTGCATGCCTAAAAGGTTCTTTGCATGGTGAAACAGTCCTGCAGATTGAGGGAGAATGTGTTGTATTTCGCTGCTTTTGGAACAAAACCTCGTATCTCCAAAATGGTAACTTTACAGGAGAAGGAAAAAACATGCTTTAGTTTTAATGTAAGTCAATGGAACCAGAATTTTTTTCAATTCATTTTGGGCCATTTCTTTTGGTCCATTCATCATTAAACATAAACATAATGTAAGGGGCAACAGGCATTTTCAAAATATGTCAAAAACTGAAAAACAAAAATCGGGATACGAGGTTTTGTTCTGACAGCAGCAATATGGTTCTATATAGCACCAAAAAGGGTTCTGCTATTGTTACAGTGATCATACAGATATGGCAAAGATGAAACTGATGAATAATAAAATGGTAAAATTTTCAAACACTCATTTTACGATCAGATTTGACCACACACAGCTCAATTAAAACAGGCTGTTTCAGGGCTGGAAAACTAGTAATACATTTTCTATCATCAAAAAACCTTTAAAAACTTCAGAAAATTCATTATTCCATGATATAAGTCCTTTAAAATTGAATCTAGTGTCCTGTACACTCCTGGGCAAAAAAATGGGCCAAGTATGTAAATGTGCAGGCAGTCTTTTACAGAAAGAAGAGTGAGTATTGATCCACTCAGCACTGATGACTTCAAACAGCTGAAAACACTGTTGAGCTGGTTTGGGTTTAATGTGAGACCAAATATTCACTATAGGGTTTAAATCTGGACTCCAGCCAGAACCTTCAGTTAAAACATTATATTTTGGGCTTGGTCAGTTTTTTGTGCAGGAGTGTTCACTCTTAAAAAAAAGATGTTTTTTCAAGGGTTCTATACTAAAGACATTGGTTCTATATGGAACCGTAAACACTCAGAGATCCATGGTTCCATATCCATGGTTCTTTGCATAGTAAAGCAGTTCTTTAGTTTGATGGTGAATGTGTTGTATGTTGTTCTATGTAGCATCAGGAAGAGTTCTACTATTTTTATGATGTCAAGCTTGTAACAGTAGAAGAACCCTTTTTGGTGCTATATAGACCCATTTTCAAAAAGGTTCTATACAGAACCATAGTGAGCCTGGCCCATTTTTTTGGCCCAGGAGTGTTTACTCTTAAAAATGATGGTTCTTCAAAGGTTCTTAAGTAAAGACAATGGTTCTATAAAGAACCAGAAACACTCAGAGAAGCATTTTATGCTGAAATAAATGTTTGCTCTATGCTTTTCATGGTGAAATGGTTCTTCAGGTTGATGGAGAACATGTTGTATATGGTTCTGTGTAGCATTATAAAGGGTTCTACTGTTGTTATGATGCCAAGCTTGAAACAATAGAGGAACCCTTTTGGTGCTATTATTAAGCTCTTGATTATCATAATCTAATTTCTAATTTGATTTTTAGTTTAATGATTTTCTCTTTCAGATGTTAATCATGTTTTAATCATGTTTTTAATTTCTATTCTCTTTCACTTTTTAAATTGACTGTATTTCCTCATCTGTAAAGCACTTTGAATGTGTATGAAAGGTGCTATGTGAATAAAATTGCCTTGCCTTGCTATTTAGAACTGTTTTCAAAAAGGTTCATATACAAGACATTCTCCATCAACCTGAGCGAATGAATGAAGAACCATTTAACCATGCAGAGAATCCTTTAAGTATGCGAAAGGTCCTTTGAGTGTTCATGGTTCTATATATCTGTGTATCTGTGTGTATAATTCCACTGTTAATGAGTACAAAGGAACTGCTTAAATGTTTACATGGTTACTTTGGAATATTTGTGATGTGGTCATGTGATTAAATAAAGACAAAGATAAGATATGATTGGACGAACCTTTTGAACATAAATGGGCATCTACTGTTGCCGTGTAAATTCTGTCACATTATAAAATGGTTTAAAGCCAGAACTTTGGTTACCATGTCACAACACAAGCGTACTACTATGCTTATGTACTATTATCAGGATAATCTTGAGTTCTCTGTGTTACACATTACGTAACAATGAACACATTGTTGTTGCATGTATTGTTAATATGTAACTACATAGTTAATAGAAACAATTTAAAGTGAGCAAGCAAACTGGTACATACTTGGTACGTCCCCACTAAAGGGCCACGGTTTAGGGCGGTAAGCAGAGATGAAAACAAATTAGATAGATTGATGTAGAACTGGAGGGATGGTTAGAGTACTGGTGAGTGTGGAGTGACTGGTGGGGGGGGGAGGGGGGGTTATGGCAAAATAGAATTTATTCAAGACCATGACTGCACACAATGGTGTAGCACAAACAGACATAAACAAGCAGGACAACACACCAGTTCTGAGGCTGAGCTGGTCTTACCTCAGAGACAGAACATGTACGGTACCAAAGAAGCGAACAGAATAAAACAGAAACTACCCAGAGCTGTATTGTTTTAGAAGTCTAGCCTAACTACCACCACAGGAAGCAGAACTAGCCAACTACACTTGGCGAATCTTCCCAAAAATACAAGGGATGGCAGCCACTCTCTAACCTAGTGTGCCTGGACAGCAGAGTTTACCTACGTGGTAGAATGTAGGTGTGAGCACAAACTCACCTCACTGTAATAAATCAGCTCAACTTAAAATGATTTAGTAACTGATTACAGGGCTTTTCTTGAGTTGACTCAACTTTGAGTTCACCCAGCTCAAACTTCTTAGTCAAAAATCTAATTCCAATTCTTAAGTATTTACATGAGACAGTCACACATGCCATATGTTAGACCTCATAAATGCCGTTATTTGCCACATAAATGCTAAAAGAATTTGATATGTTTATGAATTTTGATCAGAAATTTATTTAGAGCCCAGCTACTGTTTCTAGGTCTGCATCTCAGTTAGATAAACAAAATCCATTTTGCATTCTTTACTCCGTTTCCCCACTAGCTGGCGCTCCGTCTATCACACAGTCCCATCTGGCATTTTTTTTTCTTTTTTGGGATTCCAGACATGGACAGCTGTGGTAGAGCTGGGATTCAAACTCACAGTCTCCTGATGTTGGGATGATCTATTAGACAGCTGCACCATGTGAGATGATGACACACTTTAAAGTTAAAACAACAAATATTTTCTCCAGTGTATTAAACATTTGTAGACACAAAATCTGAGTTGTTATACATGTTCCTGAGTGGTGCAATGGACTATCACCCCAACAGGAGGTTGTGAGTTTGAACCCCAGTGATGCCATAGCCATCCATAAGTGAGTACCCAAGAGGAAAAAAGGTACTAGGATCGTGTGATGGAAAGCGTCCTGGCTGGTGGAGAAATTGAGTATAAAAAGCAAATCTATCTTATTTACCTATTCTGAGAGAATTTTTGACTCAACTAAGTTTGAGTTGTGTGAACAACGTAATCAGTTACTATATCATTTTGAGTTGAGCTGCTCTGATTTTTAACAGTGCTGTTCTCAGTCTGAGGACATAAGCATGAGAAAAATGAGAGAGAAAGGAAGAGAGAAGCACTAGACAGAGCCAACAGCACTGTCACAATAAATAGACAAAACCACTGGACAAAACTAACAACACTTGTGAACTAACAAGAGACAGACAACAGCAACGAACTTGACAGATCAACCATTCAGTTTAAGCGAATCATCAAACAAACGCAGGACCGAGCAGCAAACAAGTGGATTCTGTGGCTCTTCATCTGCATGTAGACATGAAAACTCCACGTCTGGGTAGCAGGACTGAAAAGCACGTTGAGTAACTGTTGTTTATACCATCAACACACATCATTTAACACTTAACCTGAATTAGAGCTGAGCAGACCCGCCATGATTCATCAGAGCGGCACATTGTTGTTGTTGTTTACCGTTTATGTTTTCCATTCTGCGCTCCTGACCTCATTCGAGCATCATATATCGCTTGCCAACCGCTAACGTAACAGAAAATTTACAGCATATGATGAGCTGACAGTGATTTTGACTGGCAGCTTTGACTCGACATCAATCACCGCTCATGTTCAGGAGTGACGGTACTGAGCCCGAGGCCGAGAGACGCCGCTCTCCACAAACAAAGCCCAAAAATATCAGAATCACGACCAGAACCTTTTATTTGACAACTGCAAGGCATATAAGGAAAGTCTTCCTGGTGTCAACATTCATTCCAGTGACATAAAGTCATATATTGTGTCCTCAAAACCTTAAATGAGTTCTTAAGTGCTTTAACTTCATTGCATTTAGGGCTGTCACTATCAGTTATATGAGAAATAATGTAATATATCAGTTATTTTCTAATTTAACTTTTAGAGCCTTTGGGTAATTTTGTGTTATTTTTTGGTATTTTGGTCAATTCCAACTATAAAGTATTTACGAGACAGTCACACATGCCGTACGTTAGACCTCAGATATGCCATTATTTGCCATGCTAACAGAATTTGATATGTTTATAAATTTTGATCAAAAATGTATTTAGCGCCTGCAAAAAAAAAAATTTGCTTATAAATAAATAAATAAATTCAGAAATCGTTGGCCCACAGTGTCTTTGAGCTGAAAATGCAAGAATTTGGAAGGTGTTTCATTCTATGGCTTATAATTGAGCAAAAATGAATAATTAGCATAAGGCGGCCATATTTTTTATTGATTTTCTGTCCTCTTGGATTCAGGCTGAGTGATAAAACTCTGATACACAGCAAGACAGGCTTTATTTTTCATTTAAAATTGAGTTGCATATTTATTATGAGCTGTTTTTAATCCTCAAAATCAATAGAAATGGGAAAACAGAGCTAAATAGTATTAATTGTATAGTCATTTCTATCATATTTATTGTTATTTATTTGTTAAAATGTGTTTTACTCTCTTTGAGAGAAACAGCTCAGAGCATGTGGAGAACACATGATCTCATATGTGCCTCAGTC